GAGACTGGGTCTTGCTATGTAGTTCAGGCTAGCTTTGAACTCACTGTGTAGTCTAGGCTGACCTCCAATTTATAGAGATCTTCCTGCCTCAGCCTCCTGAGTACAAGAATTACAGGCATGCACCACACTCCTGGCTATGCTGTGGTTTTAGACCAAATGGGACAGAAGCACTGTACAAGCCAGCAGTGCTGGCCATCAGTGCTTTTAACCATCCTGGAAGTGCTCAAGCAGTGCACACAAAAAGTATATTCCTAGATATTTTGATTAAAAAAAACACTTTGTAGGTATTTACCTTTCCTCTAAGAGTAAATTTGAAACAGTAGGTAAGAAGAATAGCTATAATATTAGATGATTAATTAAATGCTCTGTATCTTGATGCCTCTTCTATAAAATGGGACTTGGGGTTGTGGGAACCCAGAGCCTCACACATGCTAAGTGCCCTACCACTGAGATACATCTTCAGTTCTTTCTATTTTATTTTGAGTCAGGGTCTGCTGAGCTGCCCAGGTTAGCCTTGAGCTTGCAAATCTCCTGTCCTAGCCTTCTAAGTGGCTATGATTATGGTTTGCACCACCATGCCTAGCCTATAGTGGGATTCTTGTACTTTGCTAATGTTCATTTGAATTTTCAGAAAAGAAGTAAAAGTTATAAGATTTACTGTATATTTCTTTTTCTCAGTCTTTGGTGCAGATAAAATTGAAAAAAGCCCCAAATATCAGAATTATAGACGTTAAAACCTTGCTACACAGTTCAAGAGGCCGAAGGCCTAACTTCAGACTCAGGGAAAAAAAACACCAACACTGTTTGCAGCTAATTTTATGGAGTATTAACATAAATATCAAAATATATAAAAACAGACAAATTTATAATTATTGCACTTTACGAGGGAAGAGGCTAACCACATACCCTCATGAGATCTAAAATGAAGGTCAGGCCAGGGATTTAGCTCAGCAGTTTGGTGGCCTGCCTCGCAAGCACAAGGACCTGAGTTCGATTCCTGGTACAAAAAATAAAAAATAAATAAAATGAAGGTCAGTATGTACTACTTTAATTCACACTGAGCAATGTTTTTTTTTTTGTTGTTGTTCTTTTATTGAGTTTATTGGTACATTTTAGGTATACAGTATGATTACATTCATTATTGGGATCTTGTACCTTTACATGACAGGTCTTGGTTCTCATTTTTTCCCCTCACACTAAGCAATGTTAATTGATGCTGTTGATTTAAATGTAATTGTTTAATGACATCAAACTTTTGAAATTTTTGAAAAGAAATCATGTCTGTCTGCCTTTGCAACAATGTGTATTGATGCTATTAACTGTCTAGTTTTACTTAAATGCCATGAAGGAAAAAAATACCTTTGCCTAGTTTTTTTTCCCCCCTATGGCTAAAGATACACAGATATATGTGACTGTTAGGCCCTTGAAAGGTGGCTAGTATAATCAAGGAACTTTGATTTTGCTAAACTGAGATTTAAATAGCCATATATAGCCAGTGTCTAATGTATGACATTGGTTACTGTCAAGGTTGGCTGTAATTTGGCCTAATCATGGAGATCTAGCTTTTATTTCCTAGAAGGAATGGGTTATCACTCATATATAATTCTTTCTATCCAGAGGGAACTGTAAGGTTTAGGACTTGAGGTCTGGAAAAAGAAAAGATGAGCTAAAGTTTGCCGCTCAGGCTCTTTGACATTCCCTAGGATAGATCTGTACTCTGAGGCCAAACCTGATATCTTGGGGAGTTTGGAGCCTGAAGCTTCCCAAGAAAACTGGGGGAATTTTGAAGTCTGGAGTCATCTTTAGGCATTATGAAATCTAACCCGAGGAAGTACAAGCACAATAACATTCAGTTTTTATGGAGCCTGCTTCTCTACTTCCCCCTTGCACCTTTAAACCCGACAGATCAACAGTGCTTTCAAGGTTTGTAATAGGACTCAGGCATGTATGACTTCCAGACTGCTTATGACATAGGGCTAGCCACAGAATTCCTCATCTCTTTTGCTTACAATTTTAAGTCAACATATCAGAGTTTGCCAGGGCAGTCTTTTCACAACTGCTCTCAAAGGCTTCTCTGTGTGAGTAAAAGCTTTTGGCCTTATTTCCTCTTATCAAGTGTTCTGCCCAGCTCTGTGTAAGTTTTCATACACAGTGGGGAGTGGGATGTGCTCCTGACAACAGCACTTCTGTACATGTATTGTCTCCCTTTGTGTGTGACTGCCATGGAAGAAGTGTAAAGATGAGAAAGTAACTGGGAAGATCTGTGTACTATAGAACACAATGAACCTATGCCAATGCTGTTCTGTTTACTTTCTTCCAGGAAATTAAGAATTGGTATGGCATCACTTTGACAAGAACTACCGTGTTGTCTTCACAGAAATCTCATTGAAGAATAAGCTCAAAGGAACACTTGTCTCTTCATGGTTCTATTACTAGCAAATGTTTTCAGTGTCCACTCTTGTGCTTGACCTGCTCTAGGCAGCCCAATGAAGGTTCCTGCCAGCTCTTTTGCAGAAGCACCTGTCTTTGTTTGGTGAATGTTTGTTAAGGCTTTCCCTCAAATATCTTGAGAGGCGGAAGCCTCTTGGAACCTATGACATGGAAGCTTTGGAAGTGGATGATATCAGCCCAGCCTTGGAAGTTACTGAGGATTTCTTTAGTACTTTTGATAATAAGCTAGAAAAGCCTGTGCAGCAAGCTGAGGTTTACAGGATTCAGGAAGTTCCTGAATTAGTGGGGCATGAGGTACTCAGTGACATAACAGACAATGGTGCTATGAGAAACGTTGCCTCCCTGGGCAAGGGAAATGTGATTTGGGAGCACTGTAAGAACAGACTCTTAGAAACAAAAGCTCAAAATGTCTTCCCTGCCAAAGAACAGTTTATGGTCCAGAGAGGGACAACCCCAGATAATCTATCCTGGATGGAACAAAAGGAAGCATCGACATTTAATTTTTTCAATATCTGTCAGCGTCGGAGGGACAGACCTCGTTCTGTGAATGACTTATTGGATGACACCTCTGCTTTCAAGCCAGGCCATGCTCGATCGAGGTCAGATGTGACCCAAGCAGATTGGCAAGTAGTCCTCAAAAGCATGCCTTTGCAGCAGCAGCCACAGCTGCCATTTCTACAAGGTCCTCACTTCAGGCCCTCTTTCCTGTTGCCCTCAGCAAGTAAGGTAGAAGATGCTCAAGGAAATACTGGTATGTTTTAATTCTTATCTGAACTCTATTGAATACTTGTTGATTTTTCCTGGCTCTCTTCTGTCAACCTCAGGAGAATGTTACTCTCCAATATCCATATCTGGCTTTGCTTATTTAAACTCCTTCCGTTTACTTTGACTTTACTTTGCCTCAAGTCAGCAGTCTTGTCTTCTCAAAAGATATTTAGTGAAAAGACAACCATGGTGTGGAATACTCTCGTATTTAATGTATTTCCCTTTGAGCATTATGTGATACTGCTTATTCACATCAGTAGCCGATTTTACTGTATCATAGGGGGCTTCGCTTTGTGCTATGATGAATTTAGTGATATATGAAGACAGGATCCTTGCCTTGCAGAACTTTCTCATCTAGTGGAAAGGATTGGACCCTAATGAAGACCCAGGAAGGTTTGTGAGGGAACTTTTGTTTTACTCTATATATAAAGTGAGTGGGCTGTGAAAGCATAGAGGAATGAAGACGCCATAGGCTGGACTGGTCAGGAAGGACTTGTAAGGGAGCATGGAATTTGAGCTGGACTTTGAAGAACACAACAGTTCAAAAGGTGAAGATGACAGGATTATAGTGTGAACAAAGGTGAGGAGAAGGGGCTGGGGTGTAGCTCAGTGGTAGAGCACTTGCCTGGCTTGGATATGGCCCTAGGCTCCATCCTCAGCACCAAGGGTGAGGAGTTGGGAGTGCAGAGGCCAGCAAGCAGACACTTGTGAGTAGAACCAAAGATTCCATGGCAAGCAGTGGAGGAAATAGTTGAAGAAGATGGTTAGGACCTCATCGTACAGTGGTCTCAAACCTTGTAGAGCTTTCAGTGATAACAAACAGCCCACTGTGGCACATGTACTATAAGTTCACCACCACTGGGAGGGCTTTGATTTTCATTTTTTCTCATATTTTATATATGTACTCATACACATGTATGTGTAAAACTCCTGTAATCACAGTGAACCTGTTCTTCTGGGGGTATAACAAACCATCTCTCCATTTTCCCCACCGTTTTTCTTCAAAATAACCTCATTTATCAGTAATAACTGCAATTTTTATTACTGATTCTTCAGTTACCTGCTCAGCCCTTAATTCAGATAGCTGTAACTCAAATTAACTGGTTTTTATGGTGCGCCTTACTGCTATATTAGAGTTACTGCATACTTTCATTTTGCTTGGGAGTCCATTGATATATTTAACATTTTAATTAGTTAATAAGTGTAACCCAAGGCAGTGCTATACTTTAGTAGGAATATTAAGGAAATCTGGTGTATTTTCATATACAATTAAAATTTCTCCTTTCAAAAATTTTTTTTGTCACCTATTCAATTAGTACCTTTTAATTCCTTGTCTTCTCTCATAGGTGCTCACCATTTTCTGTAACATCTAGCTAATGGTGGTGGCCATGGGAGTGAAAGGACAAGGACATCGGGAAGCAAGGATGTGGTGACTAATTAGATATTGCAGACAAATAAGTTGCTGTGACCCCTGTTTCTGGCAGAATGATAGCTTTGCCCTTGAACTGCTTGAGTCTGTGTACAAATAGGTACACTCTTCTTTTAGCAGATAACCTCAGTAGTGTATTAAATTGTTTTGTTTCTTAAAATTCATATAGAGTTTTATCACTAAACAACCTTAACTATTCAAAATCCCTACTATAACCTAAATGACGAGAATATTGTATTTCTAACTTTTTTTCCTACCTTATTCAGATTGAAAATTCAAGAACCGTATTTTAGTTTCTAAAAAGTTATGAAATTTTCCCTTGTGGATTATACAAACCATGATCATTCTTATGTAATTCCCAATTTGAAAAGAAATTTAATACTAATTTATGTTGAAATATAAGGTGAGTGGTATTTTGTTTTTGTTTGTTTTTTATTGTTTTTTGAGACAGAGTCTTACAGTATAGTCCAGGCTGGCCTTGAATTCACTGTGGAGCCCACGTTGGCCTCGAACTTGTGCCAGTCCTCCTGCCTCAGCCTCCCGAGTGCTGGGATTACAGGCATGCAGCACAACACCCAACTAAAGTTGAGTGGTATTTTGAAAAGTAAACTGTAACAAATGGCCTTTGCAGGAATTGATGTAATATATCTCTGGATATTTGCTCATTCATGAGATACACATCTTAACAGGAAATAGCAAACTAAACAGGAAATAGTAAAGGCCCTGCAAAGTTTCTAACACCTTTTCTTTTTGGTATGCTCTGATGAGGAGGCAAAAATAAATCATGTTTTTATTGCTCAACTGGTAAAGGTCATGATAAGCAATGGCCACTATTCTTGGGCTAAGCATAGAAAAGGGTTGTAGATTTATGGCTGATGGCTGACTTGCAAATATTTGAAGGGATGTATGTGCATACTAGTCAAAATCAGCCAAGATCTTTGAGTAGAGTTTACTTCAAAACCTTCAAAATTAGCCATCTAAACTGAAGAAAGTCCAATTGTTTCTCTCAAGAAATATACCAGAAACAGAGATATTTTGGCTAGAGTCAGAGATGAGGTCTCAACAGATTTGGGGTCATGCCAGTGCTGTAGACTCATATATCCAACCACCTGGTGAATATCTCTGTTGGAATGTTTCATAGGCATCTCAATTCAAAGTGTCCTCCCATCTCCCTAGTCTTACTGTTCTTACGGCCTCCTCAGAAGAAATAAAATTTAGTTAAATGGGTTTACTTTGAAGAGGTAAACTTGATTTTGTGCTTAGCCCTGTCACTCTCTTCCTCATAGGCTTTATTGCTGCATGGTCTTATATTTTCTTCACTTGATAATTCAGTTTTTGTCCTAGCTTCTTCTCCGATCTCACCTTGAATAGTTTAAGGATTTATCAAAAGTGATTCTTCTCCTTCTTGTCTACCCTTTCCTCTTTTTCTACCCTCTTCCCCTCTCCTTGCTTCCATAACAGGAAGTGCAAAGGTCTGCTTCATTAGGAGGGACCTTTGCATCTTCTGCTGTAATTGGTGATAAATGAGTGGCTCCTAAGACTTACTGAGGTAAACTTGGCTCTGAGTATAAAGCCAGGTAGATTCTGGAATAATGGGGGCAGAGAGTAGTGGGATGTAGTAGTAGCTACTTTGCTGCTAGGCTAGCCTCTTTGAGAAGGCTTTCTGGTCAAACAAGGTTGCATAGAGTTTCAGACCTGTTCCATTACTTTCTGTCTGGGTAACATAGAGCGGATTTTTTAACCTCTGTGTGGCTCCATTTTTCTTAAGTCATAAAATGTGGGATATTTATTAAAGTAAAATTTACTTCAATTTCTTTTGAGTGATAAATGAATTTGTATAGGAAAAATTGAGGCACATCAAAGCAATCTCACTGACAAGGATTGTTTCCTTTTAACGTACTCACTGAAATATAGGAACAACACAGAGCTGTAACTTTGCCTTTCACCCTCTTGAAAGTTATCCATACAGAAAGCTTAAATGAACCAACTCCAAGGATTTGAAGAAACAGAATGAGAGCTTTGGGGTTTGCCTCATTTTTTGGTTGTTTTACTTAGAAACTTGTAGCTGAGTGTAGTGGTACACACATGTAATCTCAGCACTCTGGGAGACTGAGGCAGGAGGATCAAAAGTTCCAGCTCAGCCTGGGCAACTTAACGATTTAGACCCTGTCCAAAATAAAAGAATAAAAAAAAGGGCTGGAGATGTAGCTCAGTGTTAAGACCCTAGGTTCAGTCCCCAATGTTGTGGGGGAAAGAAAAGAAAAGAAAGGAAAGGAAAGGGAAGGGAAGGGGAGGGGCACTCTGGGAGACTGAGGCAGGAGGATCAAAAGTTCCAGCTCAGCCTGGGCAACTTAACGATTTAGACCCTGTCCAAAATAAAAGAATAAAAAAAAGGGCTGGAGATGTAGCTCAGTGTTAAGACCCTAGGTTCAGTCCCCAATGTTGTGGGGGAAAGAAAAGAAAAGAAAGGAAAGGAAAGGGAAGGGAAGGAGGGGGGAGAAAGCATCGTAGAGGCTGCATTGCCTCAGACACAGGAAGCCCCAGGCTAACTGCCTGTGCTAGTGGATGAAGGGTGCTGCCAGCTGGTCTAAGTAAACCAATGGGATGTGGCTTGAATCCAGCCTGATTAGTATCATTTGCATTTTCTGAGGATAACTGGATAGTAATGTCAAAAGCTTAGGTCATACAATGATGGAAAGGAATAGGTCTCAGACAAGATGGCAGCAGAGGATATTATTTCTAAAGAAACTCAGGGTGGAGACCAAAGCATCCTCGGGGTGTTCTCCCTTCCTTAATCAGTGTCTACCATGCACCAGGGAAGCTCTCTGACTGGGACCTATCCCTGAGGGAGGGAGGGCCTAGATCTCACCACTCAATGGCTGATTTCTGGTTCTAGCACCAATAATCTTAGTTCTATAAAGACGTGCTCTTGACTGGTATCTGTACTTAACCTTTCTCCTCTCTCTATCACTATCATGCTGCTGCTGTTCACTGAGTAATGGTACATAGACTCCTGGGAATTCCCTGGAAGATCACAGAATTCATCACAGAATTAAAATGCAAATATTAATATATCTTAAGGAAGAAACAAAGTCCTATGAATATGTGGGTGTTAGATACTGTTCATATAGGTATATGTATGAAAAATAGGCTATAAACACATATGAACACACTAAAAAGACATATGGCAAAGGAAGGTAAGGCTATATGCAAATAATATTCAACTAGGATTTAGAAATGTCTCGGGCCACTGGACTGACACACACTTGTAATCCCAGCTACTTGGGAGGCTAAAGTAGGAACACTGAAAGTTTAATGTCACCTTAGGTGAATTAGTTAAGACCCTGTCTCAAAGTAAAATGTAAGGAAGAGCTGGGGATGTAGCTCGGTGGCAGACTGCTTGCCTAGCATGTATGAGTCTAGTATTTGATTCCTCTTACTACCAGGAAAAAAAAAAAAAGAAAGCCTTATCCTAACTTTACTCCTAATTTACACATAGGTTTGGAAAAGTCACTTATTTTTGTTGCCTTTGGTTTGTAAATGTAACTTGTCTCTCC